TATGTCTGTATCGGAACATGACATCCCAAGGTTTTATTATTAAATGAAAATACATTCTCTTCGAGAAATGTTTTGATAAGTTATTATCATATCGTGTTTTGGGAACAAATTCCGCAACTGTTTTCTTTAAAAGAGTACTCTGATTTTAAAAACAAGCATAAACAAATCGGTCTTTTCTGGCCGTGAAATTGGGGATGTCACGGTTGGTATCAGAGCATTAGTTTAAGCGAACTAGGAATTTGTAGGAAATTTCTAGACTTAAACTTAGAATGCTAAGTAATGATTGTGAGCAATGTGGCTAAAATATGTTAGGTAGTACACCTAAATTGACACAAGCACTAGTTTATTTTAGGAATGATGCCTAAAATGCTTTTATGTGCTAAATGTTTTGTGTGATAGCTATATTGGTGCTATTATTTGTTCGGATCTATGGTCTGTTGCCCACCGGATCTGGAAACCTTATGTGTTTAGGATTCTAAGTGTATGTCTACGATATTAGAACTAGCATGTAAATGTTTCGGAGTGATAAGGATGATTTGAATATATATCATGAATAAGGATCTAATTTCACCTTATTCGGTGTATAGATCAAAAATGGTGAGAACAAGAAGTGGAGTTGGAAATGCTGATGAAAACAGGAATCAACCACCAGTGATTGAGCAAATACCTGTCATAGCAGCAGCACCTGAGCCGATAACAATGGCCGGTGTACAATTGATGATTCAGACGATGTTGGATCGTCAGATGGATGAAACAAGACGTCTGCTTCAACAGAATCTTGAAGAACTGTTAATTCAAGTGGAAGAGCCCGAAGTGAATGAAGGGCACTCGGAAGGTGGAAACTTTAGTGGATCTGTTGGTCAAGCCAACCCACCGATAGTTAGGCAAAACAACCAGAATGGAAGGAATGATGGAATGAGATGCAAGTATAAGGATTTTCTGACTTGCAAACCATCGACCTTCACTGGAAAGGAAGATCCGATCGGACTTATGGATTAGATATTGGAAATGGAGCTAGCCTTCATGACTTGTGGCTGCAGAGGCAGGTTACAGACTATCTATGTAGTGCGTCAGTTCCGAGGTGGAGCCGTTCGATGGTGGAACACTCTAGGGAAGATCCTAAGCCCTAACAAGCCATTGCAACTGTCTTGGGTAGAGTTCTTGGTGCAATTCAAGCGCAAGTTCTGCTCGGCCCAAAACCTGCTAGAGTTGGAGAACAAATTTCTGATATTGAAAAAAGGCAGCATGTCAGTGGATGAATACACTAATGCCTTCACAGACAATATGGAGTTTGCTTTGCGCATCATCCTAGACGAACTGACAAAAGTCAACTGGTACGCAAAGGGACTCCCTTGGGAGTATGCGGTGCCAATACGTCAGGCACCTACTCTAGAGGCAGCTATTTGGGCTACCAAGTCTGTTGAGAATATGATCAAGGGGAGGATTGACAGTAAGGTTGAAGTTGGCGAGAAGAGAAAGTTAAAAGGAACTTCAGGTTCTAATGAGAAAAGAAAATTTTCGAAGTCTGATTCGAAGAAGCTCGAAGAAGGAGCACAATGGTGTGACAAGTGCAAAAGGAAGCACATTGGGGAATGCTCTAAAGAAATGACCTGCTTCAAATGCGGGAAGACTGGTCATTACGCCAGCAAATGCCCAAACAAAAGAGAAGCCTGCTTTAAGTGTGGTGAAGAAGGACACTTCAAGCAAAACTGCCCAAGAAGAGAAGAGGCTATAAAGCCAAATGCACCACCAAAGCCAAGAGCATTCCACATGCTCGACGAAGCAGAAAACAAGGCGAGGATTCAAGGATGAAGACTTCATGTCAATATATAAAGTATGTATCAGGAAGTGTAGCCTACTGGAGGAGTAGTATAGGGTGAACTTGAGCCTTTGTGTAATCATTTCAAGGAATTAATATAAACCCTAGTTTCGCTAACTGATGTGTTGAATGATTGTCTGATTTTCTTGTATGGTGACTTGGTCGACTACGGGACAATACTTGGGACGAGTATGAGTAGGTACGAAAGGTAGAAGATGCATATACTACCGGAAGCACAGGACTCGCACTTGGATCAGGGAAAGTCACAAGGTTACCAAGAAGCTAGTAATTGATTCCACTTTATTCTGGTATGTCATTACCATTGTTTCGGTAATGACTAGTAATATGGTTCTTGTTCCGACCCTAGTGGTCATATTTAAATTTGAGTTCGACTACGAGGAGTATGTTACGTGGTCTAGAGGACCAAGTTAGATGTAACATCTGACTTAAGTCAGAAGGTTGAAGTTAATGCGATTGATAGTGTCGCGCTCGTTGTTAAAAGAGGTTTGCAGGTAGAAATGCTACATGCTGAAATAGAGCACGATCGACCCATCGGTTTGTTACAATAGATAAATGAAAGTAATTATCCTGAGAAGAAGAAGGAGTCCACAATAAGGACTTATTTGGTAACTTGAAGGTTACTATTGAAAGTACAACATAGTACGATAAGCAGATGCAAGATTGGGCATCTTCTGCGGTCAAGAAAGCCATAGAGTTAAATACTCTTTCGAGGAAACATAGAAATTACGGTTATTACCTAGGATGAAGAGATAGCGTATAGAATCATTATACAAGTTCTATTTTCGTTGATGATTCTGGGACATAATCATCCTAAGGGGGAGATAATTGTAACGCCCGTAGATCCGGGCTAGTCAATTTAGAGACGATAGGCGTCAAAAATGAATTTTTGATGAAATATTATTTAGAATGAATAATCTATACTACTTATACTATATGTTACAAGGTTTCCGTGCATATAAAGAACGCCAAAATTCGAGTTATAACGAAGAAGTTATGACCTGTCGAAGTTTCACGGCAGAACCGGCACGACGCTGAATGACGTAAAAAAATTGAATTTACATTAGAGTGATATTTAGCCTTAGAAATCTAAATGAAAGTCATAGAGTTCGTTAAACCATGAGCGTGCATAAAAAGAACGTCCAAATCTGACTTCGTATGAAGAAGTTATGATTTTTCTAAGTTTCGACTTAGCGGCATGCAGCCCGAATACTCGATTTAAGATCGAGCGGTTTTTAATCGAAACAATCTAAATGAGAATCGAAGATCTCATTAATTTTAGTAAAACGATAAAAAGATAGGCGAAAACGGACGTCAGATGAAGAAGGTATGATTTTATAACGGAGTTTTCTTGTCCCGGCCTACTAAAAATAAATAATAAAAATAAATTCAAAATTAGCCGACGGAGTCTAAACAAAAGTTGTAGAGCGTAGTCTCACCTACGCGGGGATATAAAGAACGTTGAAAACGGAGTTTGTATGAGGAATATATGAATTTTTGAAGTTTATTAAATATTTTCGATATTTAATTTAAATATAAATTCGATATTATCCGGAAAGGGGGGGTGCAGTCAGCGTTCTTATCCCCATTACGTACAGCATAATTTAGAATTACGCCCAGCGTAATTCGTGTTTCAGCCCCCTATAAAAGGGTGTCGAGGGCAACCGACTTCTTTGCTCATTTCTTCCCTTTTTCTTGCTTTTTTGCATCGTTTTTCGTGCAAGAAATATCCCGAAGCCCCGGTATCATTCCCGAGCCCCAAAGCAAGTCAAGAGACCCCGAAGATCCCGAGAAGTGTGATTCCCGAGTCGAAGCTCTGCCCGCAAGGAGCCCGGTTTTTGTGAAGATCTTCCAAATCTATCGAAGAATACTACTTCTACAAGTCGTAGTGTTGTCTGATCATCTTCTAATCAAGTGAGTGTGTGGTTACTTTCTTCTAACGCATAATTATTAAGTATTTAATATAAAATACGTTTTATGTGTATATTTTGTTGTTACATGCGTGAATGTATATTCACTTTCTTCTATCTCATAGATCTGATTTATTCTCTATGAAATACGTGTTATGTGGGTGTGCCTCATCTATTATGTGGAATAGGTATTCAATGAGAATGCTATACAGGTTTTAAACTATGTATAAAAATATATATTTTTATCTACTAATATGTTGGGTAGAACATGGGTAGATAGTTGATGTGTGATAAACAGATGAGAGGCCCCGATGTTGTTGTTGTTGATCTAGTTATTCAGCGGAGTATAGATTAGACCAAGAGGTTAGTTTTAGATCCGGGAGTATGGATTAGGTAAAGAGATAAAACTTGTTATTAGTCCGGGAGTATGGATTAAGACTAAGTTAACTGTCCCTAGTCCGGGAGTATGGATTGGGCACAGTTATTGATCCGGGAGTATGGATCAGATCATGATTAGGGTATAGTTAATTGTCCTTATTCCGGGAGTATGGATTGGGTAGAATTATTGATTCAGGAGTATGGATCAGATCAGGAGGTTAGTTTTAGATCCGTGAGTATGGATCAGGTAGTTTTAGATCCGTGAGTATGGATCAGGTGAAAAAGGTTAGTTTTAGATCCGTGAGTAGGGATCAGGTAAAGAGGAAAATTTTAGATACGAGAGTTTATATCGTGTCGTTGTGAGGATCGATGGGGTGGGATAAGAGTTGCCTTTATATGGTGAAATTGTACAAGTTTGAATGTTTTATATTTATAAATATATGATATAACATTGTGGGATGAAAACCATATATATGCTCACCAGACTCCCAAGCCTGACACACTCAGTTTTCTTTGTATCACAAGTATTAATACGAAGACATATTTCACAGAGAGATTTAAAGGAGATATAAATCAATTGTGTAATTAAATGTAAGTTCTGTTTATACTTATATGTCTGTATCGGAACATGACATCCCGATGTTTTATTATTAAATGAAAATACATTCTCTTTGAGAAATGTTTTGATAAGTTATTATCATATCTTGTTTTGGGAACAAATTCCGCAACTGTTTTATTTAAAAGAGTACTCTGATTTTAAAAACAAGCATAAACAAATAGGTCTTTTCTGGCTGTGAAATTGGGGATGTCACAAACACATCTTCTATATCATCAACAACTACCGAGACTTTCTTTTTAAAAATCTTAGAAGATCCCTAAGACATATAAGATTGATCTCTTCTATAACCGGGAGGTTGTGATGGTGATTTGGCTGCCCCCTCCCCCTCCATATTAGCTACCAAATGGGTCGAATCACCCTGCAGGTCACAACCATCCTCCATAACTGGAGAAGGCACCACCGAGTTACAATTATTTTCAACGACACCTCTCATGACAACAACATTAGGCATAAAAGACCCCTCATCCATAGCTCCATCACCTTTTGTTTGATCATTTGTTTGGAAAAATCTTCCTTTTCTATCAACAAATCCATCTCCTCTAACACCATTAATAGGTGTATTATCCATGTTAAAATAGTTATCTTGCCTCTCATCAACCTTATCGCCATTCTACATCAATAAAATCATTCACATCGTCCTCGAAACAAGCATCTTCTTCCTCTCCCCCTGACAGGTCTGGAATGTCCGACCCTATTTCTCCATCCTCCATAATATTTGGTTCCCAATTTGAAATTTCATGCACCACCACTCCATACTCAACATCTTGAGCAACCACTTTAATCATATCTTGTATAAAAAAAGGTTCCGCAGCCTTAATACACACACATTTAACCACCAAACGAGCATCACCATCCTCTTCAATAAAACAAACCTCACCCCCACATAAAAGCCAACTTTTTAACCGTAACATCATTCCAAACATAACATGGTAAACCCACCAGCTCCAACCAAATAGCACGTTCTTTAACAAAAAAAACATTAACAACCAGTATAAAAACTGAGAATGAAGCCTTAATTGCCTCAGATTTCTTAGACCGTGTACAAGCAACTTCTGATACAAAAGAAATATAGATCCAACCACTAGCAACATACTTAACGATAATTTCCGGAAAACCTTCTTCTTTCAAGAGAATACACAACTTAGGAATCAATATAATATCCTATAGCTTGCCAAAAACTAATACTTTCAATGACAACTAGTTATCGATCTCATATCCTTGTAAAATACATTCAAGAACTGAGCCTTTATTAGTTTTCACAACCCCCTGACCCTTTAAGACATTTGCATACGAATTAGAATTTCTAACAGCATGTACATTCAGCTTCTTCACCTGCTTAACAGTATTATGCTCAACAGAATTATGAGAGGCAACCTTCTCCTTTTTATTATTTTAATCAAAATTCTAAAAAAAATCTATAATTTTTCCACAACTTTTAACAAAACAACTTTAAAACTTTGTTTTTTTCAAAGTTTTTTTTACAACTTATTGTTTTACAGACCAAGTTTGCCACATATCCAAATCCGACCAAAATTTTGTTTTATTATAATTTTCAGCAAAATATGATTTTTTTTTTTCGTTTTTGTGTACAAACATTCACATTTTCCCCCAATTTAAAAAATTATGATGCTTTTGTCCAAGCTTTATACAAAAGCTTTCTAGAACTTAGTTTTTTTTAATAGGGCTAATGACCTAGGAGGGTAACGAACTTTGGTGTTTGATCACATTTAGGTAACCGTATTTTTTTCGTACATGTTTGACCATAAAACTTGTTTGACTTGTTCAAAATAGGGTAATATAACTGGTAATGTTGGTCATATTACCTTATTATGAACATGGAAAACAAGTTTATTGGCCAAATGTGTACGAAGAAAACATGGTTACCTAAATCGAAACAAAAACCAAAGCTCCTTACCCGTTTTGGTAATATTAGGTTTTTTATGCTAAGTGAAAATAATCATAAGACACACTGATATGACGTGGAATCGAGACATCATGTCTTTAGTGTCAGATCTGGATTGTAGATTTAAAGTAGATGTCGTTAATGAGTTTCCGACTTGATTCCTAGATGTCATTAGAGAACAAAACCATTAGACCACCTCTAGGACTGTAACCCAGGAGCAAGTTTTGACAATCAAGTTAGATCAACGTGTATCAGGAGATGGTCGGATCTTGGGTCAGCTCAGTTAGGCCAACTAGTCAGTGGATAAGTTGTAGGAGCTTAAGGGGCTAGGTTGTATGTGCTTTAAAGGCCTAATATCACCGCCTAGCCCACAACTAGTTGGGCTTGAACTGGGTTGGCCCAAACCTAACCTAATTATCCATTGACCTAGATCTATAACCCACTAACAATATTTTTTTGTACACATTTGACCAGTAAACTTGTTTATTACCCAATTTTGAACAACCAAACAAGTTTAATGGTTATTTACGGAAAAAAAAAAAAAAAAAAAAAACATGGTTATCTAAATGTGAATAAATACTAAAGTTTTTTACATTCCTAGGTCATCAACCGTTTTTAATACTTCTTACATCTTATTGTTTTATGGTTTTTTAGTTTTTTTTTTTTTATAAATTATATATTACAACCTTTGTATGTTTTCTATTAGCAGATATACCATATAGGCAACAACAATATCACAATCTCACGGCAAACATATACCCTAGTAATAAGGTTAATATACATTAGGGTTTGGGCCAGTAGGGTTAGCCTTTAGGACACCAACAGCCCAAAACCAAAATGCGAATGGATGAGTGATGATGACGATTGACGATATTGACCGCCCCAAAAAGGCGTGGCTGACGGGGCGGCATACTTTTCTATACGGTTATTATAGTAAATTCACACCGAACACCCTTCTCTTCCCAAACAAATACAGTTCATTCATGTCGCATAGGCACTGTAAGGAGTCCACGAGGCTGCAAAAACTAGAAACTTCTTCACCAAATCTCCAAATTCGGTTCCTCGATTAGCAGCCAGGTTTGATTTCTACTGCCTACCTTCATCAATTAAACGCCGATCAATGTTTCAAATATTTTAATTACTCAAATACATAGCATTCGTCTTAATTAGGTTTTGTTTGGTGATGTTTAGATTCTCTTTGACATGATCCGTTGATCTATGATTAAGTTTTCTCTTGGCGTGCTAAAAGTTCAAAATTCAAAAAATTTAAATATGATTATGAAAAGGTGTTTTTCTGATATTGCTTGAACAATCGTTTAACTAGGTTTTTGGTTCATGAAACCCTAATCTTCTGTTTTGCGACTCTGTTTCCACGGCGTTGAGTTGGAATTTAAGCGAAATCGGCTCAAAATTTCAACTTGTTAAGCTCAAAAATCCCAAATTCGAACCTTAAATTCCATGCTTCAAATACGTACAGTTGGAATCACATAAGTTACCTTATTGTACGACTGATTCTGATGTGCAGTTATCGCCGTCTAATTTGTGCGCATGGATTTGTTTTGCAATCATTACTTTTTTCATAAAAGAAAAGAATTGGAATCCGATACCATTCCCAATGAGTTTATGATATTTTTGTATAACCAAATTCATATAATCAGTTACTGATCAGATCAATTACTTACATTTTTTCTCTCTCTCCATTCTTCATAACCAGAAACTCCTAGAAGCTTCAAGATGCCCAAGGATCGAAGATCTTCATCTCTTGATAGGTTTAGAGCATCACCATATCCACCTTGCTACAAGAAAGCTGATAAAACAAAACCCAAATCCCCTTCTCCACCAATTGGAAACGAGAAAGAATGGGAAGAAGCTAGATGCCCTATTTGCATAGATCACCCTCACAATGCAGTCCTTCTTCTTTGTTCTTCTCGTGAAAAAGGATGTCGCCCATACATGTGTGACACAAGCTCACGCCACTCAAACTGCTTTGACCAGTTTCGAAAGTCAACCATGAACATGAACCCTAATTCCTTACAACAACAACAACAATCAAAGCTTGTTTGCCCTCTATGCAGAGGTCAGATCAATGGCTGGATTGTAGTTGACCCTGCACGCCATTTCATGAACAAGAAAACAAGAACTTGTTCATCAGGAACTTGTGATTTCACTGGAAACTATTCAGAATTGAGGAAACACGCGAGGCGTGATCACCCGTGTGTGCGACCCACAGAAGTGGACCCTGATAAGGAACTTGAGTGGAGGATTTTAAGGGAAGATATGGAACATCGTGACATTTTCAATATGCAATTTGAGTTTGATGATAATGAAGAGCCAATTGATCAAGTTTTGGAAGGTTTGAGTGAACTCGCGAGTCCAATGTGGGATATTGATTTGGATTTTATGAGCTTCTTGACTAATTTTGAAACCGAATTTGATAATATTTTTCCTGAAATTGATGGGAATTTGGTGATGGATGATTGGGAGAATATGTTTGGGTTTTTAGCTTCTTCACATGAGCCAGAGATTAGGTCAAGAGGAGGAGGTCAAAACAGGTCAAGGGAGATTGGTTTGACTACTAGAAGAAGAAGCAGTAGAAATGGAAGACAAAGGGCAAATCGGTCAAATCAACGTTCGGATACTCAACAGGCACAGATGATGACTCCTTGGGTTGATTTTCTTGACATCGACTCCAATCTTCCTTAAAATGCTTGCTATTAGTTTCTCATAGTACTTCTTTGGGATATCAGGTTCAATTTCAAAAAAAGATTAAAAAAAAAAAATGGTATTTGGATTATCTGTTTTTTATTTATTACTTTTGGTGTCTATTATATTTGTATTTCTGATTTACGTTATGATCTGTAGAAGTGGTAGTAGTTTATGGATTGATTTTTCTTTTGCTTTATGGAAAGTGTTGAAACTTTGTCCTTTTGTTTTCTTTCTTCCTTCTTCTTGTTGGTGAATTATACTGACTATTAATATGCATCTAACAATGCAAAAGATGTGAATCTCGTCATGAAAAATAGTTTTAGAAAATTTATTCATTCATGTCACTTTATATGCTATTTCTACTCCAATTTTTACATGGTCGTGTAAACTTTCATGAGTAAATTTACTTGGGTTGTGTAATCTTTTGTGTAGTCATTGATCTTTAGAAATACAAATGCGTAAGGCCCGGGAATTGATCTTGGTTTCTTGACTTTCTTCCATGACCTCCAAGCTCTATGAATAAAAACATAATGTCTTTATGATGAAAAGTATAAAGTTCATGATGTCTTTATGTAAAATGGAAAATCTAAAACGAATAAAAACATGCTAAAGGATGTATGAATATGCATCTAACAATTCCGAAAAGGGGGATAAATGTAATTACGGACAAATGAAACTTTCTTCCGCCCAACAAAACTAATGAGTTGGATTATAGACCGAATACCTTCTTTGTTTTGTTTTTATCTGAAAAATATAAATCTAAATATCATCATTTCTAGTTTGAAAATTGGAAAAAATGACAAGTTTGTTGGATTTGAACAAAATTGGACCAAATCACGAACCAATTTGAATCGAAATAAGATTGATTTAGATCAATTTTGTTTTTTTTGGTATAACAACAATCCCCAAATCACATAAGGTATAAACCAATATGCGGTAATGGAGAGATTAGATGTAAATAGTCTTACCTCCCTTGGAAGGGTAGATAAGTTTCCATAGGAGACTTTCAGCAAATAGAAAAAACAAAAGTGAATAAAAAGAGGAGGATTAAAAAAACTATGATGCTAACAATATAACTACAAGTAAAATATGTAATTATAATGTTATAACAAGTCATAAATGTAAAATTAATGCTTACATTAGATCAAATTAGTAAATACTAAATCAGATAATTGAAACTATAATAACAATAAAAATTCAAGTAAAGAAACGAAACCTACCATCGCAACTATCTTTGAGAGGTTAAGACACCGACTTCATGTCAACCAATGTTGATTCAAGTCTAGTCTCATAAGATATGTG